GTTAACTATACGATGTCATTAGTAATGTTGGTAGAAAAATCATAGTGATGTTAACCACACCATGTCATTGTTAGTGTTGGTAGAAAAATCATAATGATGTTAACTATACCATGTCATTGTTAGTGTTGGTAGAAAAATCATAGCGATGTTAACCACACCATGTCATTGTTAGTGTTGGTAGAAAAATCATAATGATGTTAACCATACCATGTCATTGTTTGTGTTGGTAGAAAAATCATAGCGATGTTAACCACACCATGTCATTGTTAGTGTTGGTAGACAAATCATAGTGATGTTAACTATACCATGTCATTGGTAGTGTTGGTAGAAAAATTGACATGGTGTGGCTAACATCGCTATGCGATGGTAGTATGTTTTGTTTAAGGGACTTGATGTAAATCGATGGTAGTATGGGTTTTTTATGGGACTTGGTGTAAACCAGTGGTAGTGTATATATTTTTTTATGGGGCTTGATGTAAATCGGTAGTAGCATGTTTTGTTTAAGGGACTTGATGTAAACCGGTGGTAGTATGTTTTGTTTAAGGAACTTGATGTAAACCAGTGGTAGTAACAACCATATGATTTTCTCTGTCTTTTGGTTGAACATTCGTCAACTTTTCTGTGATAGGAATCTTGTCAGTTGGAGAACTTGGAATTTCCTTAAAATTGGCTTCAAATCTAACTATCTCGCTGTATTCATCACAGTAGGTCGTGACAAGGCTGGATAATAACAAAGCAGCCAAAGAAATAATTCCCCCTAAACAGAAGATTATCAACCCAGTTCCTTTACATATATCAAGATGTTGATTGAAAACCAATGCCGAGCGGTCTATAATTTCAAGATCTGCTTGAAAGTCAACAACTACACGTTTTTGAGGAAGGAAGTAGCCGAGTAAAAGCAGAATTAGGCCAAAAATGAGCAAGAGAAGGCCAATGCAAAAGGTTATTCTCCAGAATGTGGCTTTTTTACATCTATTTTGAGGGTCCGTCAAGAACTGATAGTTATAATCATCAAAATCTTCATAAACATCAGGATTTTTCATCGTCACATCTTCATAGAAATTATATAGATATGACCTAACGCCAAAAAAAGAAACATCATCACCATCTGAAATTTCCTGTTCCTCACTTACTGACTGTTGTGTTTCAGATTTTCTTAAATCGTAGACATCTTGACCGTTTTCTGAGTGATACTCTAGCGCCATCTGTGTCTTTTGTCGTTCGTCTTCGTTTGAATTTTCTTCTTTCAGTCCAGCTCCTTCATAGTCCACATTGCGTAACTATGAAATAAAATAATTTATTTGGAGCCTGTTTGAAATATACTACAATATATATAAACGTTCATCTCTGGAATGCACACGAACATATTTAGAGAAAATAAATTGAGTCACCTAGTTACGAGTTCAACATAACAGTAAATGTACAACGTTTCGACAAGGTTTTGTCATCATCAGGTACCTTTTGAACATCACATGTACAGTACATTTTGAAAGGTGAACTTAAAACCAAATAGTTCTAATTACTTATATGAAGAGACAGATTATCCTATATGTCAAATTTTATACCCATACCTCATACACACACAACCACAAAACATTTTTCAAGTAGATCCCGAACAGTTATAATTTTCTGCAGAGTATTTTAAAGCAACAGGCGCGAGTCAACCTAATAAGCCTATGGAGCCAATGTTAAGTGCTGTCCTAACAAAGTAGCAAGTGATATTTAGTAAGAATGATTATTAAAATCTTTAAAAACAAATAACGAATACATGGATCAACAATTAGGAAAACGTACCAAAGCTCCTTATGCAAAGGAGAGACAAAGAACGTACGCTTAACTACTGTGTAGGATAAAAAAACAGTTAATTTAAACTTTAGGATGAGCTTTCCGTTTTAGTGTTGAATCAGAAAAAAACCAGAAACTGTAGGATATACAAAAAAACTTTAAATTCAGACTTAAAATACTGAATCACAAAAACAATATATGTACCCTTATGGTGACGTCACACGACTGAGAAATTTTGACACTATAAAATTTAGCTCGACACCTATGGTAGTGTTGGTAGAAAAATCATAGCGATGTTAGCCACACCATGTCATTGTTAGTGTTGGTAGAAAAATCATAGTGATGTTAACTATACCATGTCATTGTTAGTGTTGGTTTTTTATGGGGCTTGATGTAAAGGGTAACGCATTGTTGTCTAATGGTAGTTCAGTTTGTCATGTTTTGTTCTTTAGAAATACAGCATGTGAAGTTAATGTATTGTTGGGTTATGAGGGTTCACAGTTTGTCACGTTCTGTTGAAAACCAAACCTGTTACGATATCTTATTGTTGCTTGATAGAACGCAGGTCAAATAAATTTGGAAGTAAATAGTTTTTTTTAGTATGTTAACATGAATAACTTATCTACCTACGCCATTGGTCCATTGAAGTAAAACAATAAAAATAAATAACTAGTAACATTTATCATCTGAAACTCATAAAATGACATGCTTAGACTTAAAATGCTCAAACCGATTTATCATAAGATCCTTATTTAAACTGAAATTGGTACTGTTTCTGATAAAATTAATGATGACTGAAGACCAACTTGTAATGGAATCATTTTTTAGAGAACTCAAATATTTTTAAAAACCGCGTTATTGACAAGTTTCACATAGATTTCATTGTTAGATAGCATGTTTAATACTTTGCTGTGCAATGAATATACAAATGATCGCTAATTCGTACTTTCGACAGTCAGAAACAAACATATTTATCACGTATTGCCACTTTTTAAAACTTTGTTTGAGTAAACAAACAAAAAAAAAACATTTTATGTTACAATCAGGTTACAGTACTTTTCAAGTAGTTTAATGATTTTTTTTTAAAACATGTAACAGTAGAAAGCATTTTAAAGCAACGGGCGTGGGTCCAACTAATAGGGTGAATAATTAATACATTTTTTAAATCTCCCTTTTCCAACGCTTGATGTTTACCCAAGTAAACACAGCCAATGACTACACAAAACTACAAAGAACCTTTCAAAATATCTTCCATATTGCTTCTCCGTATTACACTCGTTCTTTCAAGCAATAAGATTGTTGAAATTGTATACCAGCTTCCTAATAAATTTGTGATGCTCAGAAAGCAATAAAGTATTTTGTTATTTTTTAAGTGGATGAATCACAAAGAAAGTAACTTGGAAATTTTTGGAAGGAAAGTCGACCTTGTGAGAACACTCAGTTATTAAGTTATTAACATTGTAATAAACGTACTTAATAGAATAAACCTACAACTAATTAAGGATTGCCTTGGCTATTCAACTCTGCCGTACACACAGAAACAGAAGAAATCGTAGGTTCAGTTATGCCAAATAAAACAAAAGTTATTTCTAAAAATCTAATTTTTTAGTTCATTCATTCATTCAAGGAAATCAAGTAAAAACCTGGTTTTTATGGGGCTTGATGTAAACCGGTGGTAGTATGATTTTTATGGAGCTTGATGTAAACCGGTGGTAGTATGGGTTTTTTATGGGACTTGGTGTAAACCAGTGGTAGTATAGTTTTTTTTTATGGGGCTTGATGTAAACCGGTGGTAGTATGATTCTTTAGGAATACAGCTTGTCACAAAACATGACAAACTGAACTACCATTAGACAACAATACGTTAACCTGACAAGCTGTATTCCTAAAGAACACAACGTGACAAACTGGACTACCATAAGACAACAATACGTTAACCTGACAAGCTGTATTCCTAAAGAACACAACGTGACAAACTGGACTACCATTATACAACAATACGTTAACCTGACAAGCTGTATTCCTAAAGGAAACAACGTGACAAACTGGACTACCATTATACAACAATACGTTAACCTGATAAGCTTTATTCTTAAAGAACAAAACATGACAAACTGGACTACCATTAGACAACAATACGTTAACCTGACAAGCTGTATTCCTAAAGAACAAGACGTGAAAAACTGGACTACCATTAGACAACAATACGTTAACCTGACAAGCTGTATTCCTAAAGAACACAACGTGACAAACTGGACTACCATTAGACAACAATACGTTAACCTGACAAGCTGTATTCCTAAAGAACACAACGTGACAAACTGGACTACCATTAGACAACAATACGTTAACCTGACAAGCTGTATTCCT